AATATCACATAACATAATAATTAATATTTAAAAATCTACTACTGTAGTAGTTAATAATTATATTAATTACTAATCATTAGCAAAATTTAAATATTAATTATTATATTAGTAAAGTAGAATCAATAAAAACTAACAAAACTTACTATCCTTATTGTTACTATTTTCATTATTATTACTTAATTCTAAACTATAATCTATAAATTTATTTTGTAATTTATAAATGATAGGATATATTAGCAAAAGAGTGAGATACTTGCTTTCTGAAAAGAATTTTGTTGCATACTCAAATAGTTTTAATACATTAACAATTCTTTTTAACAAATGCTACTTATAATCTTTTAATAATAACTGTGACAATTTTGGCCATCTTTTTTACTTTTTTTTCTTTTCTTTAAAGGCAACACAGATAGATACTAACTATATTATTGTATCTTTTAATTATAAGAGTCTTGTCTATAAAAAGTAACTAGAGTTCCTTTATCTAGTACAAATATCAGTGATATTACGCAATGCTTTTATTATAAATTTATCAATTTCTCTATCTTTATTCTCTTCTTCTGAACCAATTTCTTCATGTATATCAAGAGCTGATAACTGATTAAATTGAATAATTTTAATATCTACTTCTCAAATATGATTTTGTCATACAAGATCTATTTGTATCTCATCAAGCTGCTTTGATTGTTTAACTGATTCTGTAAAAATTTTACTAATTCTTTGAATTTTTTTATATTGAGACTAATTTTTTTTTAGACTCTTCATCACTAATAATTGAAAAGTATGAGCAGAACAGGATAACCATTCAATATCTTCCTATATGATTAAAGCTTTTTTTATATTAGAACTATTATTGATAACCTCTAAAAATAATTTTTTATTTAAACCAAATTTAGCTATTTATTATTAATATAATCATATATTTTCTCAACTATATAAGGATATCATATATGATCAATAGTAAGAAGTATATTAATAATTTTAAAATTAGGTGTAAGCCAATAAATCATAATATTGATATATCCAAATTTAGATCTGGTGGTTTAAAGATCTATGGTAATAGTAGCATATTTACATGTTTTATTAATTTTTGTTTTAAGTTTGGTTATTCTATCTTGATAAACTACTGCTATAAAATTTTTATACTCTTTATTAGATAGTGATTTAAATTATAGATTAATTTTTTTTATAAATCACTAAAATCCTTCTTTATGAAGTATATTAAAAGATAAAGAATTTATAACAATCTACTTTGTATATACTGTTTGTAGTTCATTTTGTTTATTTAGGCCAGTGTTGTCACAGGACAGTTGTAGACAGTAAGTTTAGACACTTTGGACAATTTTGGACAATTAAATAAATTAAAATTACTCAAAATTTTATTAAGATAATCTATTTTAATTTCTAAGTAAAATATGTTTAGCATATAAAAAAATATATAATCATATATTTTTTAAATAAATTTATTAATTATTAAAGCTTGGATATGCTCTGAACACTTGTGGATACTTGGACACTTGAATGTTGGACAGTACCAAAAAAGCCTTTAGATAGTCAAAACATATAACACTGATTTAGGCTATGCAGTTTTATATTATCTATAACTTGTTCAAGCATAATTTGTTCTTTTTTTTTCTGCCTATTATTACAATATTATAATAACTTAGATAATGTAAATCTATTTATTAAGTATAAGGCTATATAAGTTAATTTTTTTGGTTTTCGTAACATAAAATTTTAAAAATAATCTGGCAACCCTATTTTGAATTTTATTTTCATAAAATTTTTATATACAAAAATATAAAATTTTTCAATAAACATCTGAAAAAATCTACCCAGATAATTAATATAGTCGAAAAATTTTTTAAATTTGATCTGACCAAATTTTGAGAACCAATTTATTAAATTTGTATAACCTAATAATAAATTAAATAATACCTTTTTAGTTAGACTTTTGAGGACTATATCATGTTCTTGTATTATATAATAATTTATTGATATTATTAAATTTAAATTAGTACGAAAATATTTTTATTTATTTTTTTTCTCATCTTAAGTTATTTCGACTTGGCATATTACAAAATTTTTTTCTATTTTAAAATATTGCTATATTTCAGCTATGAATAAGTCTGGGTTTTTTCTTTTTTTAGTAGACTAGTAGTTTTTTTATCTTTTAATACAGAAGATATTTATTTAGAAGAAGTTTCTATTTCTCTACTATTATTATTACTGTTATTCTCATTGATTTCAGGTTCACTATTGGTTTCTACATTATAAATTTTACTATTCTGGATATTATTCATCTTAAATAAAAGAAAGTTGATTCAAATTTTTTTTAAGGTTTGACTTATTTGTTGCATTCAATTTCAATTTTAGTTTATACTCTTAAAACAAAATTTAATTTTAGTATCATTTACCAATAATTAAACTAGTATATCACAAGAAGATTTGATTATTACTATATTGTTTTAAAATATAAAAGTTTAGTAT